TTATATCTGGTCCTTTACAGAAAAAGTTGGCCAGCTGGGCAAGGTGGCTCATGCCTGTAATCCCAGCACTTTGAGAGGCCAAGGCAGGTGGATCACGAGGTCAGGAGTTCAGGACCAGCCTGGCCAATATGGTGAAACCGTGTCTCTACCAAAACTACAAAAATTAGCCAGACACGGTGGCAGGCACCTGTAATCTCAGCTACTTGGGAGGCTGAGGCAGGAGAATCCCTTGAACGTGGGCGGCAGAAGTTGCAGTGAGCCGAGATTGCGCCACTGCACTCCAGGCTGGGCAACAAAGTGAGACTCTGTCTCGAAAAAGAAAAGAAAAGAAAAGAAAATGTTTGCCAATGCCTGTCCTAGAGCAACCACTTAAAAAAAAAAAAAAAAAAGATAAAAAGATTTAATGGAAGAAAAAAAATCTATACATAAATTAAAATGGAATACTAAATAATATTTAAATAAACCAAAACAAGGATGGAAAATGGAGACAGAGAAATTGCAAAAAGAACAAACAGAAAATAAATAATAAATAATAGAAATAAATGCAAACATATTAATAATTATATTATTTTTATTTATTTTTTAATTTTTTATTTGTTATTTATTTATTTTTGAGACGGAGTTTCGCTCTTGTTACCCAGGCTGGAGTGCAATGGCGCGATCTCGGCTCACCGCAACCTCCGCCTCCTGGGTTCAGGCAATTCTCCTGCCTCATGTTGACCGGGACGGTCTCGATCTCTTGACCTCATGATCCACCCGTCTCGGCCTCCCAAAGTGCTGGGATTACAGGCGTGAGCCACCGCACCTGGCCTATTTTTATTTTTTTGACATGGAGTCTTACTCTTGTTGCCCAGGCTGGAGTGCAGTGGTACAATCTCGGCTCACTGCAACCTCTGCCTTCCAGGTTCAAGGGATTCTCCTGCCTCAGCCTCCTGAGTAGCTGGCATTACAGGCGCATGCACAATGCCTGGCTAATTTTTGTATTTTTAGCAGAGACATGGTTACCATGCTGGCCTGGATAGTCTTGAACTCCTGACCTCAGGTGATCCTCCTGCCTCAACCTCCCAAAGTGCTGGGATTACAGGAATGAGCCACCACACCCCGCCAATTATATTAAATTAAAATGGCCTAAATACAATTAAAAGACAGATAGGCTGGTGGCATACATCTGTAGTTCCAGCTACTTGGGAGGCTGAGATGGGAGGATTGCTTGAGTCCGAGAAGTTGAGGCTGCAGTGAGGTGTAATTGTGCCACTGCACTCCGGCCTGGGTGACAGAGTGAGACCATGTCTCCAAACAAAAACACATTTCTGTAATTCTAGCACTTGGGGAGGCCCAGGCCTGAGGATCACTTGAGCCCATGATTTTGACACACCAGCCTGTGCAACATAGTGAATAGATCTCTATTTATTTATTTATTTATTTATTATTTTTTTAGACAGAGTCTCGCTCCATCACCAGACACCAGGCTGGAGTGCAGTGGCGCGATCTCGGCTCACCGCAACCTCCGCCTCCTGGGTTCAAGCAATTCTCCTGCCTCAGCCTTCCGAGTAGCTGGGACTACAGGCACGCGCCACAACGCCCAGCTAATTTTTGTATTTTTGGTAGAGAAGGGGTTTCACCATGTTGGCCAGGATGGTCTCGATCTCTTGACCTCGTGATCCGCCTGCCTCGGCCTCCCAAAGTGCTGGGATTACAGGTGTGAGCCACTAGATCTCTATTTTAAAAGGGATCAAAATATTTTTTCAAAAGGCCTAGAAATAGTGTTTGAAAAAAATTTCAGTATGACATAGGTTGGTTAGAAGTAAGAAGATGGGCTGGGCACGGTGGCTCACGCCTGTAATCCCAGCACTTTGGGAGGCCGAGGCGGGTGGATCACAAGGTCAAGAGATCGAGACCATCCTGGTCAACATAGTGAAACCCCGTCTCTACTAAAAATACAAAAAATTAGCTGGGCATGGTGGCGCGTGCCTGTAATCCCAGCTACTCAGGAGGCTGAGGCAGGAGAATTGCCTGAACCCAGGAGGCGGAGGTTGCGGTGAGCCGAGATCGCGCCATTGCACTCCAGCCCGGGTAACAAGAGCGAAACTCCATCTCAAGAAAAAAAAAAAAAAAAAAAAAAAAAAAAGAAGTAAGAAGATGGAAAAAGACATACTATCAACACTAACCATAAGAAAGCTGGAAATGGCTGTAGTAACAGTAAAGTTCAGAGCAAAGAAAATTACCAGATAAAGAGGGACATTATTAGCTGGGTGCAGTGGCTGAAGCCTGTAATCCCAGCACTTTGGGAGGCTGAGGTGGGTGGATAACAAAGTCAGGAGTTCGAGACCAGCCTGGCCATCATGGTGGAACCCCCATCCCTACTAAAAATACAAAAAAATTAGCCAGGCGTGTTGGCACTCACCTGTAATCCCAGCTACTTAGGAGGCTGAAGCAGGAGAATCACTTGAACCCAGGAGGTGGGGTTGCAGTGAGCCTAAATCATGCCACTGCACTCCAGCCTGGGTGACAGAGTGAGACTCCGTCTCAGAAAATAAAAAATAAAAAGAGGAACACTATATAATAATAAGATATTTGGTTTTTCAAGTAGATAGAATAATTATTTTCTTTTTTAAAGTTTTTATAAAGATGGGGTTTCACCATGTTGGTCAGGCTGGTCTTGAACTCCCGACCTCAGGTGATCTGCCCGCCTTGGCCTCCAAAGTGCTTGTATTACAGGCGTGAGCCACCATGCTCGGCTGATAGAATAATTCTGAATGTCTGTGCATTTAACCACAGAGCTTTAAAATACATGCAGCAGACCAGCCACTGTGGCTCACGCCTGTAATCCCAGCACTTTGCGAGGCCAAGGCGGGTGATCACTTGAAGTCTCAGGCATTCTATTAATAGCAGCACAAAACAGACTAAGCAATCTTGAAAGCCGCAAGTCACCAAAACTCACCCAAGAAGAAAGAGGTAGATGTAAATATAAAATGTACACCCATAAAACTTTTAGAAGACAACAGATGAGAAAATCTTAGTTACCTGGAGTTAGGCAAAGAGTTCTTAGATTTAACATCAAAAGCATGACTCATAAAAGAAAAAAGTGGTAAGTTGAGAGTCATCAAAATTCAAAACTTTTGCTCTGTGGAAGACAACAGTAGAAGGAAGGACAAGCTACAGAATGGGAGAAAATACTTGCAAATCTGCTTAATAAAAAGTTTTAGCCCAAATATTTTAAGAACTCTGAGGGCCGGGCGCGGTGGCTCAGGCCTGTAATCCCAGCACTTTGGGAGGCCGAGGCGGGTGGATCACGAGGTCAGGAGATCGAGACCATCCTGGTCAACACGGTGAAACCCCGTCTCTACTAAAAATACAAAACATTAGCTGGGCATGGTGGCGCGTGCCTGTAATCCCAGCTACTCAGGAGGCAGGAGAATTGCCTGAACCCAGGAGGCAGAGGCTGCGGTGAGCCGAGATCGCGCCATTGCACTCCAGCCTGGGTAACAAGAGCGAAACTCCGTCTAAAAAAAAAAAAAAAAAAAAAAAAAGAACTCTGAAAACTCGAGAAGAAAATAGAATCTAATTTTTTAAAATGGGGGGCCGGGCATGAGGGCTCACACCTGTAATCCCAACACTTCGGGAGGCCAAAGCGGGTGGATGGCCTGAGGTCAAGAGTTTGAGACCAGCCTGGCCAACATGGTGAAACCCCATCTCAACTAAAAATAAAAATTAGCCCTGCATGGTGGCAGGTGCCTGTAATCCTGGCTACTTAGGAGGCTGAGGTTGCAGTGAGCCAAGATCATACCACTGCACTCCAGCCTGGGTGATAGACTCTGTTTCAAAAAAAAAAAAAAAAAAAGGGCAAATAACTTAAGACACTTCACAGAGACTATCGTGATGGCAAATAAGAACATGAAAAGATGCTCAAATCATTGGCCATTAAGCAAATTCAAACTATAATGAGGCCGGGGGTACAGGGGCACGTTGCCTCATGCCTGTAATCCCAGCACTTTGGGAAACTGAGGCAGGTGGATCACGAGGTGAGGAGGTCGAGACCAGCCTGGCCAATATGGTGAAACCCTCTCTACGAAAAATACAAAACTTAGCTGGGCATGGGGGTGCACACCTGTAGTCCCAGCTGTTCATGAGGCTGAGGCAGAAGAATCGCTTGAACCCAGGAGTCGCAGGTTGCAGTGAGCCAAGATTGTGCCATTGCACTCCAGCCTAGGAGACAGAGCGAGACTCCACTCAAAAATAAATAGGTGGGGCACGGTGGCTCATGCCTATAATCCCAGCACTTTGGGAGGCCGAGGTGGGGGGATCACAAGGTCAAGAGATCGAGACCATCCTGGTCAACATGGTGAAACCCCGTCTCTACTAAAAATAAAAAAATTAGCTGGGCATGGTGGTGCGTGCTTGTAATCCCAGCTACTGGGGAGGCTGAGGCAGGAGAATTGCCTGAACCCAGGAGGCGGAGGTTGCGGTGAGCTGAGATCGCACCATTGCACTCCAGCCTGGGTAACAAGAGCGAAACTCCATCTCAAAAAAAAATAAAAAAATACATAAAAAATAAAGCTACAATGAGATTTCTAGTAGAATGAATAGAATACCTATATTCCTGTTAGAATAGCTAAAATAAAACAAAAACCAGAGACAGTAACTGCTGGCAAGAATGTGAAGTAACTAGAATTTTTTTTTTTTTTTTTTTTTTTTTTTGAGATGGAGTTTCGCTCTTGTTACCCAGGCTGGAGTGCAACGGTGCAATCTCGGCTCACCGCAACCTCTGCCTCCTGGGTTCAGGCAATTCTCCTGCCTCAGCCTCCTGAGTAGCTGGGATTACAGGCACGCGCCACCATGCCCAGCTAATTTTTTGTATTTTTAGTAGAGACGGGGTTTCACCATGTTGACAGGATGGTCTCGATCTCCTAACCTTGTGATCCACCCGCCTCGGCCTCCCAAAGTGCTGGGATTACAGGCTTGAGCCACTGCGCCCGGCCATTTTTTTTTTTTTTACTCTTAAGGCATTTATTTATTACAACATTCTCTGATTTCACATTAGCTTAAAATTCAATTCAGTCTTTACATTACTCCACTGAGGTCACCGCCTCGGCATATGACATACACCTCCTCCAGCACTCAGTGTGACCCGCATCCGCACAGCGAGCCCCATGTCAGCCTCTGTTTCCCAGGGGAACCAACTAGATGTTGATACTGCTCTGCCACAAGTTAAAAGCTCCTAACTCAATCTTATTGGAGAAGGAGTGAAACGTCTGCAAAGTGCGCTGGAAGAAGAGGTACTTTTTGCTTATGAAAAGAAAACAGTGAGTCCTCTAAGGATAATAAAAGGGAGTATTTTACAGTTAAGCACATGATTTGGAGTGAAGAATTTGGATGTTGCTTTGCTGGTCCAGGCTGTTCATACTCTTCCTGCTCCTCCTGTGGACCCCCTTCATCAGGTACCATGAAGCCTTCATCTGTGGCATACAGAATGTCTACAGTCCTCTGCAGTACAGGGTCATTCTCCCCCTCATTCTCTTGGCAAATCAATTCAATGTTCTGTAGCTTTCCGAAGTAGAAGTCTCTCTCTTTCTCTAAGTCTTCAACAGTAAGTTTCAATACGTTGACCTGCTGCAGCTCAGCTGCCTCGTCATCCCCATCGCCCACACCAGGGCTCTTCCACACCACACCAGGGCCAGGCTGAGGAGCCGCAGCAGTTCTCTGGGTTGAGATGGGCCTCTGGGGAGCTGCGCTACTAGAACTGAGAGGTTTCTTCGGTTTATTCAGCGCTGAAGCAACGAGCGAAGGAGCCACTGCCGTTTCTTGACCTTGCCTGGCAGCCACAGGGTCATAGTCTTTTCCATCACAGTTTGCATCAAAAAACTTCTTGAACCATTGAACAAATTCAAAATTGTCCTGAAACTTTCCTTTTACTAATTTGTCCGCAGGAATTATTTTATCAACACCTATCCTCTTAAAACCCGCTTGTAGTATTTTGAAGTTCTGGATGTACTCGTGTTCTAGCTTAGCCTGGAATTTCACTTTCTTCAAGGCAATGGAGCCAGGAAACATCATGTCCATAAACTGAGCCCTGAGCCCCTGAGCACAACTGTCCAACCTTTGTTAGACTCAACTGCAGAGACTCATTGATCCAGGCCAGCATGTCATGTCAACTTAGATGATCACTGGTCACTGACGTTGAGTATACTTTCACTGCCATCTTCTGCTCTCGGTGGAACCGTGTCCACTGCCTGCACCCGGTTCCAGTCCCATCTTCTTGTTCAAACCACCAGACCCCGCCCGCCCGCCAGCACGAACTAGAACTCTTATAATTGCTGGCGGGAATGCAAAATGGTACAGCCACTGTGGAAAACACTTTGGCATTTTCTTATACAGTTAACCATACAGTTACTATATGATCCAGCAATCCCACTTCTTTCATTCCTAAGGAAACAAAGCCGGTGTGCTCTGGTCTGGAGATGGTCCAGGGCCAAGTGCTCAAGACGTGTTGACCTGATTTTGTGCACAGCAGCTCACTGCAAAAGAGACTAAAGGTTGCAATCAAGAGCACATGGAACTGAGCTCAAATAAAAAATGACAAGATGTCAAGTTCTGATGGAAGCATGTCTGTACGTAGTGTACGGGCATCGGTTTGTAAATAAGGCACTGTATGAAGAACTAGCACCTAGTCATGCTGAATACAGAAATATTAAAATACAACTGTTTCACGAGTCACATTAAAATATTAGTTTTGTGTATTTAGAATTGAATATTAAAATATTGACTATTAAAAAGAAAAGAAAAGAAACAAAGCCAGGTGCGGTAGCTCATGCCTGTAACCCCAACACTTTGGGAGGCCAGGACAGGCAGATCACCTGAAGTCGGGAGTCCAAGCCCAGGCTGACCAACACGGAGAAGCTCCATCTCTACTAAAAATACAAAATTAGCCAGGTGTGGTGGTGCATGCCTGTGATCCCAGCTACTCGGGAGGCCGAGGCTGAAGAATCCCTTGAACCTGGAAGGCAGAGGTTGCAGTGAGCCAAGATTGCACCACTGCACTCCAGACTGGGTAGCAGAGTGATACTCCAACTCAAAAAAAAAAAAAAAAAAAAAAAAATTAGCCAGGCATGGTGGCACATGCCTGTAATCCCAGATACTTCGGAGGGAGGCTGAGGCAGGAGAATCTCTTATACCTGGGAGGTGGAGGTTGCAGTGAGCTGATATCTTGCCACTACACTGCAGCCTGGGTGACAAAGCAAGACTCCATCTCAAACAAAAGAAAGCAAAACCACCTTCAAAATGTAACATACTATGTGATTTCATTATGTGACACTCTGGAAAAGGCCAAACTATAGCAATGGAAAACAAATCATTAGTTGCCAGGAGTTAGGGGCAGAGAAAAGGTGTGCCTACAGGAGCGGCAGGAGAGGGCTTTGAGGGGTGATGGAACTGTTCTCATCCTGATTGTGGTGGTGGTTACACTAATCTGTACATGTGTTAAAACTCACAGAACATCTTTTCGGCTTTTGACTCGCAGGAGGCCAAGGTGCAACTTTCTTCAGTTGTCCCGAATCTGGGTTCATACAACACCAGCCACCTCCACCATGCCACCGAAGTTCAACCCCAACGAGGTCCACGTTGTACACCTGAGGTGCACCGGGGGGGAATTCGGTGCCACTTCTGCGCTGGCCCCCAAGATCCGCTCCCTGGGTCTGTCTCCAAAAAAGGTTGGTGAAGACATTGCCAAGGCTACAGGTGACTGGAAGGGCCTGAGGATTACAGTGAAACTGACCATTCAGAGCAGACAGGCACAGATTGAGATGGTGCCGCCTTCTTCTGCCCTGATCATCAAAGTCCTCAAGGAACCACCAAGAGACAGAAAGAAACAGAAAAACATTAAACACAGCAGGAGTATCACTTTCGATGAGAATGTCAACATTGCTTGAGAGCTGTGGCACGGATCTCTAGCCAGAGAACTCTCTGGAACCACTGAAGAGATCCTGGGGACTGCCCAGTCTGTGGACTGTAATGTTGACGGCCGCCACCCTCGTGACATCATAGACGACATCAACAGTGGTGCTGTGGAATGCCTAGCTAGTTAAGAAGCAAAAAAGAAAATATTTTAGTAAAGGCTCATTTAACAACAACAACAAAAACCTCACAGAACATACACATATACACACATGAAGCAATTTTGCCATGGATTTTTTAAAAAGACTACAAAACAAATACACTGGGTTGTCACCACACTTGGGTAATTTTTTTCTATAAAAATTTGTACAATCCACCAAAAAACTTTGTTTTTTGAGACGGTGCTTGCTGTATTACCTGGGTTGAAGCAACCTCTGCCTCCCTGGCTCTGATGATCCTCCCATGTCAGCCTCCCAAGTAGTTGGGCTGCAAGCATGCACCACGCCCAGCTAATTATTATTATTTTTCGAGACGGAGTCTTGCTCTGTCACCAGGCTGGAGTGCAGTGGCGCAATCTCGGCTCACTGCAACCTCCACCTCCTGGGTTCAAGCGATTCTTCTGCCTCAGCATCCCGAGCAGCTAGGACCACAGGCGAGTGCCACCAGCCACCATGCCCAGCTAATTTTTTTGTATTTTTAGTAGAGATGGGCTTTCACTGTGTTGGCCAGGATGCTCTCGATCTCTTGACCTTGTGATCCGCCAGCCTCGGCCTCCCAAAGTGCTGGGATTATAGGCGTGAGCCACCACACCCGGCCTATTATTATTATTTGAGACAGAATCTCCCTCTGTTGCCCAGGATGGAGCGCAGTGGCATGATCTCGGCTCACTGCAACCTCTGCCTCCCGGGTTCAAGCGATTCTTCTGCCTCAGGCTCCTGAGTAGCTGGGACTACAAGCTCGCACCACCACACCAGCTAATTTTTTGTATTTTTAGTAGAGATGGGGTTTCACCATATTGGCCAGGAGTCCTGACCTTGTGATACACCTGCCTCAGCCTCCCAAAGTCTGGGATTATGGGTGTGAGCCACCACACCCAGCCTTGTTTTTGATTTTGTAGAGATGGGGTTTTGCCACGTTGCCCAGGCTAGTCTGGAACTCCTGGGCTCAAGTGATCTTCCCTCCTCGGCTTCCCAAAGTGTTTAGGATTTCAGGCGTGACCTTCCACGCCCTGTAGGAAACTTTCTATTTAAAGGACTTCTATGGTGAATCATTCCATACAGTATATTAGTATCATTTCTGTCCATCTAGATTTTGAGTCCTGGCTCTCGCTGTACTACTAGATAGCTGACAGATGTTGAACAAGTCACTGCACCTCCATTTCTTCAGAAGAAAATGGAAACGGGGGTTTCAATGATATCTGGAATTATTGCTAAGGGGCATCTGAATCATCTCCAACCCTGACATTCTGCTTTAGTGGGTGTGAAAGCAGACCTACTGCCACATTTGGGAAATTCCACAGCAGATAATCTCTAAGGTCTCTTTCAACTCTGAAATTGTTTTTTGTATCATATTTTGGGCTTGCTGAAATTAAGATTCATCTGTATTGGGAATCAGCTTCTGTCCTTCCCTGCCATACTCCTTGTGATTTGTGAATTCTCCTACTCAAATACGTAACATCTTTATTTGAAGTCACCGGTGGTATGCTAGGAACACAGCTTTGTTTACCTTTTCTTTTCTTTTTTTTTTTTGAGATGGAGTCACTCTGTCACCCAGGCTGGAGTGCAACGGCACAATCTTGGCTCACTGCAACCTCTGCCTCCTGGCTTGAAGCAATTCTTTAGCCTCAGCTTCCTGAATAGCTGAGATTACAGGTGTGTGTCACCATACCCCACTAATTTTTATATTTTTAGTAGAGACAGGGTTTCGTCATGTTGGCCAGGCTGGTCTTGAACTCCTGACCTCAGGTGATCCAACCACCTCAGCCTCCCAGAATGCTGGGATTACAGGCATGAGCCATTGCGCCCAGCCCAACTTGGTTTACTTTCACCAAAGCATTTCCCATCTGATACGGTTTGGCCATGTCTCCACCCAAATCTCATCTTGGGTTGGAGCTTCCATAATTCCCACGCATTGTGGGAAGGACCTTGGGGGAGGTAATTAAATTATGGGGGTGGTTTCCCCCAGACTGTTCTCATGGTAGTGAATACATCTCACAAGATCTGATGGCTTTATAAGGGGAAACCCATTTTGCTTGGTTCTCATTCTCCTTCTTCACACGGCATGCTGCCATGTAAAATGTGCCTTTTGCCTTCCAACATCATTGTGAGGCCTCCACAGCCATGTGGAGCTGAGTCCATTAAACCTCTTTTTCTTTCTTTTTTTTTGTTTTTTGAGACAGAGTCTTGCTCTGTTGCCCAGCCTGGAGTGCAGTGGCACGATCTCGATCGTGGCTCACTGCAACCTCCATCTCCCGGGTTCAAGCAATTCTCTACCTCAGCCTCCTGAGTAGCTGGGATTACGGGCATGTGCTACCATTCCTGGCTTTTTTAATTAATTAATTAATTTTTTTTTTTGAGACGGAGTTTCGCTCTTGTTACCCAGGCTGGAGTGCAATGGCGCGATCTCGGCTCACCGCAACCTCCGCCTCCTGGGTTCAGGCAATTCTCCTGCTTCAGCCTCCTGAGTAGCTGGGATTACAGGCACGCGCCACCATGCCCAGCTAATGTTTTGTATTTTCAGTAGAGACGGGGTTTCACCATGTTGACCAGGATGGTCTCGATCTCTTGACCTCGTGATCCACCCGCCTCGGCCTCCCTAGGTGCTGGGATTTCAGGCTTGAGCCACCACGCCCTGCTAATTTTTTTTTTATTTTTTAGTAGAGATGGGGTTTTACCATCTTAGCCAGGCTGGTCTTGAACTCCTGACCTCATGATTCACCCACCTCCTCCTCCCAAAGTGCTGGATTACAGGCGTGAGCCGCCCTAAACGTCTTTTTCTTTATACTTTACTCAGTCTCAGGTTTATCTTTATCGACAGTGTGAAAATGGACTAATACACCACCTCAGTGCCATCTTGGCTTTTCCCAAGGTATTTCTGCTCTTTTAGAGACTCAATCCCACCAGGACAGGTCTTTCGAGGTCCCCCTCTCTCCCACCCTCCAGCTTCATGGGCCCAGATCCCTCAGATACTTGGTTGGCCTTCTTCCTGGCTAGAGAACACTGACGTCTTCAAGATGATGGTCCAGAAATGGCAAGCTCTCCAGGTGGCAGGTGACAGACGAAAACAAGGGGGTGATACCAGAAGAAACCAGGAGTAGCACCCTATTCCCACCCAAAAGATAAGGGCTTTAGGGAGGAAGAAAAGAATCTCAAGGGGCAGAGAAAAGGTAAAGAACTCTGAATGCTAACCCAGTCTGCCTCATCTCAGGGACCGTCCAGAGGGGCCTGAGCCCAGATGGTGAAGCACTCTCTGCTTCTCCTGGTCCCCCAAGAGCTACCATTTAAGAGTAGGCATGGGCTGGGTGTGGTGGCTTACGCCCATAATCCCAGAACTTTGGAAGGCTGAGGTGGGCGGATTACCTGAGGCCAGGAGTTTGAGACCAGTCTGGGCAACATGATGAAACCCTGTCTCTACTAAAACATACAAAAAATTAGCTGGGCATGGTGGCAGGCGCCTGTAATCCCAGCTACTCAGAAGGCTGAGGCACCATGAAGTGCTCTGTCAGGCTTCAGCATCCCAGGCCCCTCTCCCTCAGGCTGTGCCAGCTCTGTGCCCCCAACACAGGCTCTCCCGAGGGATGAGGCTGGACAGAGGCTCCTTACGAGAGCCAGCTACCGGGGTCTCCTCGCCATGCCCCAGCTCCTCAGTGATTTTTCACCCCCCATGCCTCACGTCCCATCTTCTTATCTCTATCCTGGTGCAGCATCACCTGTCTCCTTCCTTTCCTTTCTGAAGACTCCAGTGATGTCTAAGAGCCAGAGAGGTGAAGGCTACTTTCTGCTTACCCCTACCCCAACCAGAATGGGCTGAGAGAAGTCATCTTTGACCCATGCTGTTCCCTCAGCCCCTGGAATGACAGTCCCAGGACTGGGAGCAGAAAGCCAGGAAGGCATATGAGTTAAATGGACTTGGAATATGTGGGCGACTGGTGGGGTTCTTATTGTGGGCCAGCTCCTGGTTCTCTGGGTCACCTCAGTTTATATGACTTGGACATGGGTAGAGGATGGAGGAGAAAGGGTATTATTGCCAGGTCCTCAGGCCATTACAATAGAAAGGGGGAAAAAAATCCCAAACCACAAACAGGTTTTTTGCTAAACAACAGAACAGGCAAAATCCTATTTCCTAACCCCATCCCATCGGGGCTGATCCAAGCGCAGGACCAACATCAGCCACACCAATACTACCTACTGGCTTTTTATGGGCAGTATATCACACTGCTGACTTATACCAGACTTAATGTCAGCTACATCTCCTAAGGGGTGTCACTGGGTAGGCAAGTGATTGTTCAACCAACCCTTACTAACTAATTGAAAACGTCACTGTGATCGCTGGCACATAGAAGGTGCCCAATAAAGGTCTATTAAGCCCTAAGACAGCCTTCAGCAAAGACG